CTTCCAATTTGAGTGGATGTCATTCAGAGTAGACTGATGCAATGATGTTGCAGAGCAGGAAATATGCAAAGCAATTATCTTTTTAGTAGGTCACTGGCCTCCTTTGGGAGAAGAGACCAGAGGGAGATGGCAAGGCAGGCAGCACGGCCTCCCCCAGAGGCTGCGCGCGCAGTAGCTGCATTGGTGATTAATAGCGTGTCACTTTCCATGAATGTTGCTTTAAGCAGCCGTGTTCAAAATTGAGTGGGAATGAAATAAAACAACCCAAAATAGATGTTTCCTCTATGCCTTATGAGTTGCTGGAATCCAGAAATAGCTTTCCAAATCTATAATTTTAAATGGCATCATTCACAGCATTCTCGGAGCCGTGGCTTTCTTTTTGCATGGATATTGCTGTATGCACAAGCATCCCTCTTTGTTTTTAAAGAGCATGAAAAATTTGAGCTCAGTGTCTTGAGGTTTTTTCGGCACTGAAATAAAAATGATGATTATAGAGAAAAATATAGCCTTTACATATGTTTTTAAAGAAAAATAGTAACCTAGCAGCGGAAAAGGACAGGAAGAATCTTGTGCCCATATAGATCATAAACTGGAGCAGTAAAAAGGTCTGGCCAGCAGTAATTGCTGGCCAGCTGCAGGGATTACAGCCCTGTGAGCTGCGTTCAGGGCACCCTGCCAGGATGCTGGCAACCAGAAGTCGGGCCGGGACCATCCTGACCCACAGTGCCGTTGTTGCGCCCGAGAGTGTAAACAGGAGGGTGACCACACAGCAGCAGGGCAGGGTGCCTGCACTGGCCACACCCTCTCAGAGCACAGGGACTTGAGGTCCTCTCCCTCTGTTGCCTCCGTTGGAGCTAAGCTGCCAGTTTGGAGGCTAATAGTGGTAGTCACAGGGATGACCTCTGGCTACATCTCTGGGTAGGAGAAGGGTCACTAGACTTCAGTATCACGTTTGTCCTAAGGAAGCTAAGGAACACATCTGATGGGTGAGGAGCCAGAGGGAACCCTCAGCTCAACGCTTTGGGGATTGTCACTGTCTTGGGCCAGAGAGGGGGAGGGAAAGTGGGTGGTGCTGTATGCCTTCTGCCCACTCAATTTGTCTGGTCCCTGGAAAAAAAACCAAAAACTAAAACAAACAGCAAAGCTAAACAAACCAGTGGTGGGGTGGGCTGTGGGGCACAAGGGTGGGGTGGATTCCTCATCTTTTTTGCATCTTCCATCCCCATCCTAACTCCCTGCTGGCTTCCACTCAGCACTCCAGTGTCTCACCATTGGCCTTTTATTGGGACATCTCGTCACAAGTGAACATTCCAAGGAGACATGGAAGGGTGGATGGGTGGAGGAGTTGGATTGGAACTCCTAGGAGATGGTGGGACATTCCCTTTGTCATCTTGCCTTCTCTTTCCTGAGTACTCACACCTGGCCAAGCTGGGGCACATCAAGACAGAAAAGGCTGGCCCCATAGGTTTTAATATTGTTCAGGTATGGTGAGGCCAACAGATCAGGGGATGACTGCCATTAAAAAGATAGCTTGTTACAGTTCCCAAGAGGAGGGGGTATGCCATGCCATGCAAGGCCATATGGGGAGGCACTGGGGATGGTTGAGAGGCAGGAGGAGCAAGGGGGAAACATGGACAAGAGCCTTTATTGTGGTTTCTGTGAGAAAGGATGGAGAAGGAAGGGCAAGCAGGCTAAGCGGGTTTAGGATTGGCTGGTTTGAATAATTTCAGAAGGTTCTGGGGCTGTCTTTTCTTGTCTGGTACCTGGCCCTGGGGGTTAGTGGCCCAGAGTAAAAGAGTTGCTTTAGAGTCTGAGGGTTAGTGGCTCAGAGTAAGAGTAAAGGAGGTGGTTGGGGTTGTGGGCTCTGGATTGGTGAATTTGCATGGGAAAGATGGACAGGCAGAGTGGTCCCTTGCTCTCTGCAGGCACTGGCCAGCCCTGGGAGGGCCAATCCCTCAAGGGTCAGTAAAGAAGTCTTCAGAAGTCAGTGCATCAACACATGTGGTCAGTACAGGTTGCACATGATGCCAGCATGAAAGGTAGAAGTGTTCCCATCTGGGAGGCATCACAGGTGAAATGCTCAGGGTGTTCTGAGAAGTAGCTTCCTGCTTTGATTGGTTTGGTTTGGTTTTTGAAGGGGCATGTCACAAATGTGAGAAAAGTATCAATGGGAGTAGAGGGCAATTGGCTAAGCCACCAAAAATAGGATGTGTGGCAGCCAAGTGAGGTTGGATGAGTGCCTTGCCTGGACAGAGGCCCGGGACAGGAAGCTTCTGAAGGGGCTTAGCAGGAAAAACAGTTGGGACACTCAAGTAAGGCCAAACTAGGCTCTTGAATGCCAAGCTGAAGCATTTGGATTTCATGCTGTCTGAGCTGGCCAGAGCTGTTCTGGTTCACTCTCTAGTTCTGTTAATGAATTCATAGATTCATAGAGAATGCCAACATCTGGCCATATATCATAAATCCAGAACTTAATTAACAGGTTAGGATGCTGATGTAAATTGATTGTGGATGAAAAATAGAAATCCCCTGTGGGAGGAGTTGAAGACACACTGCCTTCCAGGCCTGCAGGTAATGTCAGCAAGCAGAAAGGGCTCTTGGGACCCTGGGGAACAGCCATGCCCCAGACGGAGGGGGCAACAGCCTCTGAGCTCCAGTGGATCAAATCATGGAGATGGGGTCCAGAATTGCCAGATCTTCCTAGTTTTCAAGAAAAGCTGGAAATTCAGAGTCTTGTGTAACCTCCCGAGTTAAGTGAAATTACCTAAGAAGTCTATGGTGGCTCACTAGTGAAACTCTTTCCTCCCTAACAGCACAAAAAAAGGCCTGAGCCCTGCCACATGGGATCCTGGGGGCCTCTTTCTACCCTACATCTGTCATCCTAATTGAACTGTGAGGGTCAAAGAGGAAATGGGACAGTTTTAAGGTGTGGCTGCATTGGGAAACTGAGGCACACCGGGTCAGGGGTCAGATCTGGCTTCCGAAGACCTTCCCTGAAGTCGAGTGGACGTCTTGGTGGCATTTCATCTGCATTTCCTCATTGGCAAAATCCATTCCTTCATTCGTTCACACTGTGTGTGGGGCCGAGACAGATACTTCACACCAAAACAGAAAATCTGATGGGACGCTGTCTAAAGTGGTGTTGCTACTGTAATGATTTTATAGCAAAACAAAAGCTAAAAGGTGTTGTGATCAGGAGCATCTTTTCCCAGTGCCCTGTGGTTGAAGTTCCCTCTAGCAACACAGTAGAAAATACCGGTGATTGACAGCGTGGGCTGGGGGTACACGCAAGTCTCTCCTGACCACGTCACCTGGTCTCATTCTCTCTGAGTCCAGGGCTCTGAGCTCAACATCTGGGCCTCCACCTCCTTGACCCTGGTGGACACCCGGCACCTAAAGTGGTGTCGCCACAGAGCAGGTGCCCAGATGTCCCTCAGGGGAGTGAGTTTCGTGTGGCAGTGAATGCCTTCAGTACAGAAAATTTTAGCTACAGCGACCATAGAAAAAGCTAGTCTAATCATAGCATCCGAGAAAGGAAATTGAGAGAGTGGGGACAAATGGAATTTTTCAATGACCTGACGTCATGATATGCCATTGTTGGATCTGTGATTTTCCTAATGGCTTCGCACTGTTCCAGTAAGAGCCGAGAGGTTTCCCTACAGGCTGTCAGGCCTCATCTGGCGCCATGCCCCACTGGTGTTGGAGTGCGCTAGGATGGACCGAGGGCAGAGCTGGGGGGTGAACGTTGGACAGCCAACGGTGGGGCGGTTAGACCGTGTCTGGAGAAGTCTGTGCACATAGACAACAAGCTTGCACTCATAAAGCTGGAAAGCAGCTGCCCCTAGATGCCCCTCTGGCCATGTGTGTCCTTACCCCCTCCCACACACGCAGCAGGGCCCATGAATTCTAGACACCATACGTACTAAGAAGATCATTGTGTCCTTCTTTTAAGAATAAAGACAATATTAAAGCATCAACTTGTGTTTAAGAAAATCTATCAAATATAGACATGTTTAAACATTGCTGTTTCCCTTCTCTCCTTGCTGTTTCCCTTCTCTCCTTGCGACGGATAGATAGATATCCTCACTTCACTGTTGCCCGAAGCACAAGCCTGCTGGGCCTCTTTGGTAACAGAGCACCGCGTGCACCTGTATGTGTATGCCCGGGTGTGCGTGCACCTGTGCTCGTGTGTGCAGGCATGTGCGCGCGAAATGTTCTTTCATAAATCGGCATGCAGGTCAGAGACATTCGAAGACAGGAGGCTGCCAAGCCCAGAGCATCACGGGCTGGGGGGGAGGTGAGTTCGGTCAGGCCTGGCTCTCTGCAGCCCACTGCCGAGAGATTCAGAGGATTAGTCCGTGGGTGTTGCCTGTGGGGATAATCTCAGGCCACTTCATGCGTCGCTCTGAGGAGGTCCCCCGTTGGCCCCGATACCACTGCCTCAGAGCAAAACGTGACTGCTCTTCATAAAGCACAGGATTTGAGGCAGGATGTGAACACCTTTCCTTACAGAGCTGCAGGGGGGATGGAGGTGGGCCAAAAGTAATGACCCGTCTGTGAATCTGACAGGAGCACCAGGGTCAGTGTTGCCTCCTTGTTGAGAATGTCCTTTTGAAATATGTTCTTGGATGTTGCTCCCATCCTATTAATTTTGTCACAAACTTAGTAAAGCTGAATAATTAATGATCACGGGGCACTTGGAACTGTAAAATGCCATGTAAATGTTAAGGAGTAAAAATTATTCTGTGTCTTAAATAGATAGGCTGCTTTAAAAAATATTCCATGGTGGGAAGATTAATTCCAGAAGAGCTGAAAAGGTTTTTGTTGGACTGTCCTAAGAAACTTTTGATATCTAATTATCTTAACCACATTTTAGGAGACTCAGGCATTCTGTATCCTGAAGGATTTGAAAGGCAAATGGCTACTTGACACGTTTGGCTTGGGAAATGACGTTACCTATTGAATTTTGGTAAAAATTGTGTCTGCTTAATTCTCTCTAGCCGGAGGCAGTTTGGGCCTAAGGCCAAGGAAGAAGTAAAGATCATTGAGCACCAAACCCAGACCCTTCGGCTGATGCCTCATCTGGCCACAGCCTTGGCCTTGACCTTCGTCAGCAGGTGAGTTGGCTGTCAGGGTTTGCTCTCTAAAGATGAGTGTGAGATCCTGCCTGGCATTGGTAAGGAGTGAGGGGAGAGGCAGACAGGGCCTTCCTCTTCTAACTGGATGCAGGTAAGAGTCTGTGGTGAAAACCTGACGCTCAGGTTAAAAGTGGGATGTCTAAATCTTGATTGTCTGTATATCTGGGGGGGATGGGATCCCCAGAGAATTTGAGAAGCCTTGAATCAGCATTTCTCCATTTTCTGAAAGAAACATACTTGGCTGTTCAAATTTCTCAACCTCTGACAAAGGTTCTAATTTAAAGTTTTAAAAAATAGGTAAAAGTGTGTGCATTATGTGGGGAGGGAGGGAGGAGTCAGGCTATTGCATAAAACAGTGCTAATAGTACTATAAATTCACCTGAAGCCTTGCATTTATAGGGGGCCTCCCTCTATGCCTCTCAGCTATAGCTCCTCAAAGCCCTGGGATGTTGCCTGAACAGTTGTGTGTCATCCCCACCTTCTAATGAACAGAAAATTGGGGATTTGCCTAAGATTACAGGGTCTGGGAATTTACCTCCAAACCCTGGACCCTTATCCTGTGTTCTTCCTTATACAATCCCGCTTCTTAGGGTATTATTTTCAGAGTAATTTAGAATTGGTGTGTGTTCAAAATTTACTGCACTGATGGCCAAGCTGGTGCCAGGGTTTATAAGAGGAAGGTAATCGGGAAGGCCTGCAAATCCGGTGTGCTGCTGGCTTGTGGGGCTGCCGGGCTTCTGCCGGCCTGGCTGGGGTGGGCGTACCTCTATGCTCAAGCCTAGGATTCCAGGATTCTCAAACACCAAATTCTGCAGACTGAGCTTCAGGTAACATGAAAGATCAATCAGTCTAAGCCACCCAGAGGAAAATGTGAACCACTCACATCCAACACCTTACTTAAAATATTTTTGAATGCTCTCTGAGATTCAATTTGCGTATGGTAAAATATACAGATTTTAAGGTATTTGTCATTTTGTGTCATTTGTCATTTTATATATTATGTCATTTTAGGGTTCATTGACAAGCATATACTCTGTGTAATGAACACTCAAACCAAATATAAAACATTTCCACCTTTGCAGTTGGCCCTCACCTCACCACCACAGGAGAGACAATCACCTTCGTGAGTTCTATCCCCATAGCTAAATTTTGTCAGTTCTTGAACTTCATGTAAATGCAAACATACAGTGTGTAGTTTTTGTGCATCCAGTTTATTTCATTCAACATGATGTCTTAATATTCCTCAACGTTGTTGATAGTTTGTTCATTTTTAGTGCTGAGTAGTATCATTAAGTGAATAAACACAATTTTTTAATCCATTCTCCCAGGGCTGAACATTTGGTTTGCATCTAGACTTTTGGCTGCAATGAATAAGACACGGTGAATATTCTGGTACAAGTCTTTCTTTTTTCTTAGAGTAAATGCCTAGAGAGGACTTGCTGGATGATGGATATGTGTATGTCTAACGTTATAGAAACTGCCATTTTTCTTTATAGCAACTGCCATTTTATATTCATTTGAGCAATGCATGAGGGTTCTGGTTACTCTATATCCTGAAATATTTTAAGTGTCTCAAAACTGTTACCAAAAAAATCAGGTTCTAAGAGTTGTCTAAGTCTGTTCTTATTCAAAATTGTCTTGGCTGTTTTGACTTATCTGGGACTTCGCATTTCCACATACAATTTTGGACCTGCTTATCAGATTTTTTTTTTTTAAACAAAAAGCCTGATTATATTTGTTTGTGATTACGTGGAATCTATTAAGCAATTTGGGCAGTGCTGGGTCTTCCAAATCTAAGAAGATGATTTATCTCTGTATTTATATAGGAATTTAATTTTTCTTAGCATATTTTCTAATTTACAGTGTAGAGATCTTTCACATTTTTTCTAAATTTATTCAAATGATATTTCTTCTTAAAATTTAATTATCAATTGTTCTTAATATCATATAGAAATGTAATTGAATTTTTTGTGGGTGTCTTTTATTAGAGTGAGGACGTTCCCTTCCACTCCTAGTTGGCTGAGTATTTTTGGATGTTGGATTTTGAGTTAATTTTTCCCTCTATTCACTTAGCTGATCATGTGAGAGTTCTTTTTTTTTCTTTTTGTTTATTATGTTCAGTTAGCCACTGTATAGTGCATAATTAGTTTTTGATGTAATGTCCAATGATTCATCAGTTAAGTATAACACCCAGTGCTCATAACAGCACATGCTCTTCTCAATACCCATCACCCTCTTACCCCTCCTCCCACGCTCCTCCCCTCTGAAACCCCCAGATTGTTTCTTAGGGTCCATATTCTCTCATGATTCATCTCTCTCTCTGATTTCTCCCCCTTTGGGTTTTCCTCCCTTCCTCTGTGGTCCTCTGGCTGTTGCTTATGTTCCACATATGAGTGAAACCCTATGGTAATTGTTTTTCTCTGCTTGACTTACTTCACTTAGCATAATCCCCTCCAGTTCCATCCATGTTGATGCAAATGGTGGGTATTCATCCTTTTTGATGGCTGGATAATAATCCATTGTATATATGTACCACATCTTCTTTATCCTTTTATCTGTTAAAGGGCATCTTACCTCCTTACACAGTTTGGCTATTGTGGACAATGCCACTATGAATATTGGGGTGCAATATTCTTCTTTTCACTACATCTGCATCTTTGAGGTAAATACCCAGTAGTGCAATTGTTGGGTCATAGGGAAGCTCTATTCTTAACATCTTGAGGAACCTCCATACTGTTTTCCAGAGTGACTGTACCAGCTTGCATCCCCTCCAAAAGAGTAAGAGGGTTTCCCTTTCCCCATATCCTCCCCAACATTTGTGGTTTCCTGTTTTGTTAATTTTTGCCATTCTAATTGGTATAAGGTGGATCTCATTGTGGTTTTGATTTGTAGTTCCCTGATGGCTAATGTTGGGGATTTTTTCATGGTTCTGTTAGCCATTTGTATGTCTTTTTTGGAGAAGTATCTGTTCATGTCTTCTGCCCATTTTTTGACTGGGTTATTAGTTTTTTGTGTTGAGTTTGACAAGTTCTTTATAGATCTTGGATATCAGCCCTTTAACTGTAATGTCATTTGCAAAGATCTTCTCCCATTCTGTGGGCTGCCTCTTAGTTTTGTTGACTTTCCTTTGCTGTGTAGAAGCTTTTTATCTTGATGAAGTCCCAAAAGTTGATTTTTGCTTTTGTTTCACTTGCCTTTGGAGATGTGTCTTGAAAGAAATTATTGTGGCCGAGGTCAAAGAGATTACTGCTTATGTTCTCCTCTAGGATTTCATTAGATTCCTATCTTACCTTGAGATCTTTCATCCATTTTGAGATTTCTTCATTCTATTAATGAAATGAGTTACATTGATTACTTTTCAAATGCTGAGCCTGATTTGCACTCTTTGAAATCCTTTGTCTTGATGTATTATAATGCTTTTATATTATTAGATACAAATTGGTAATATTTATATAAGGATTTGTGTGTTTCTTGTGAAGAATGTAATTTTCTTTCCTTTGAGATGTCCTTATTAGGTTTTGGTATAAGGGTTATACTGTGCTCATAATGTGACTAGAAAGTGGTCCCTTCTCCTATATTTTCTCAAGGAGTTTTTATAAGATTGGTATTATTTCTTAAATTTGGTAGTATTTACTAAGAAGCCATCTGGACTTTTTTTTTTAATAGGAGGATTTTTGATTACCCTGTTAACTTCCTTAACAAATATGAATCTTAAGATTAACAAGTTCTTCTCTGTCAGTTTTATTAATTTGTGCTTTTCCAGGAATTTGTCCTTTTCCTCTAATTTGTAAAATGTATCTAAGTTGTTAATAATATTTCCTTATTATAATATTAATGTTTATAGGATCTGTAGTGATGACCCTTCTTATTCCTAATATAGCTTTTGGCCTTTTCAGGGGTTGATTTTTCTAGATGTTTATCGGTTTTGATAATCTTTTCAAATAATATACTTTTGTCTTGAATGCTTTTCTTGCAATTTTGCCCATTTTCTGTTATTGATTTAATTTCTTTATTATTTTCTCATGTCAATTTTTTTTTTAAAGATTTTATTTATTTATTTGTCAGAGAGAGAGAGCGCGAGAGTGAGAGCGAGCACAGGCAGACAGAGTGGCAGGCAGAGTCAGAGGGAGAAGCAGGCTCCCCGCTGAGCAAGGAGCCCGATGCGGGACTCGATCCCAGGATACTGGGATCATGACCTGAGCCGAAGGCAGCTGCTTAACCAACTGAGCCACCCAGACGTCCCTTCTCATGTCAATTTAGTTGGGAATTAATTTGCTTTCTTTTTCTAGCTTCTTCTAGCTCATTGGTCTAAAACCTTTCTTTATAAAATAAAAATGCATTGTTAAAAAATTCCTGCTAACTTTGTTTAGTGTATTTAAGCTTTGTTATTTAGCACATACAGATTTTGGGTTATTGTATCTTCTAAAGGAATTAAGCCTGTTATATTCATTAAATGTTTCTCTTTGTTTCTGGTAAATTTTTTTTGTCTAGAAGTCTACTTTCTTTGCTATTGTTATAACCATACCAGTTTTCTAATGCCAAGTGTTTTCTTGGTCTGTCTCTACCCACCCTTTTATTTTAACCGATCTGTCATTATATCAACCTCCTCCCATGTGCCACTGTGAGATTTTTATAAACAACATATGGTGAAGTCCTGGTTTTTATCCGATTTGGTAATCTTTTTATTTGGAATGCTAAGCTCATTTTTATTTACTGCAGTTCCTAATAAGTCTACCATTTTGCCACTTGCTCTGTTCTGTCTTTTCTCGGTTTTTCATTCCCTCTTTGTTTTTCCTAGTGAGTACATTAAGTATCATAATATGTATCCTTATCTTGCCAGTACCAACCTTGAATTGGTATTTTACCACTTTATATGTAATGTAAACTTGTAAGACTATAATTCTTTCTTTTGGGGGAGGTTATTGATTATTTTTTTTTAGTATTTCATTTTATCTCTTCTCAGCTTTTACCTGTATTTC